ACCAATATTTACAACAGAAGAAGAATAAAAAAAACATCCTTAAAAAATCAAATTTCTTTAATGACAGCTTATTTTTTTCTGTTGTAGAAAGAGATAGATTGATAATTAATGTCAGATTTTAAGTAATTGATTTAAAGGACCGAGTGTGAGAGAGGAGCGGAATGGAAGAGATTCTTTGAAATTGGGTATTAGAAAGACATTACTGGTGTTTCATTTGATTTAAGGGGATTTCTTTACATTTGATTTTATCAACTAAATATTTTTGTTTTAAGAGATTAGTATATACTTATAATTAAGATATTTTTATGTAGCTATAATTAAAAGATTTATGTATTTATCTATTCTATCTTTTTTTTTTTCTGATTAGTTAGAGTGCCACGTGTCAAAAGTGATTTTGTACTGAAAATGACTTTTGGCGGGAAAATTTTCATTGTGGTATTTACACATGTCCTTTTTGTTTGATGCTTTAATTAAGTATTATGGATTTTACTTTGATATATTTGGAATTCTTTTCTAATTTTCTTCTAGGATTTTACGAGGTACTCCCAAAGTTTATCATTTCGGAATTCTTATGTCTTATGCTTCATTTGTTCCAAATTGAGGATATCCTAAATCCAACTCGTAGGAAAAACTCACAATAGCTACCATAATCTTTCTGCACGGGCGGGGCAAAAAAAAAAAAAAAACCTCTTAAAATCTACTAAATCTGAGAAACCCTCTATTAATTGGCCGTTACAGAAAATGAAACAACTAGTAGCATAAGAACACAATAATTTGGTTGTTTTTATTGACGGTAAAAGTGGGTTGGGTTCTCCTTGATATATATAGATGAGGAAGATGTGTGGTTATTGATGTTGAAGTAAATAATATAGTTGGCACGTGAGAGTATATATTTACTTCCTCCTCTTGGAGAAAAAGGAGAATGATATATTTAGTGAAAACAAATAGTGAAAAACAATAATGACTGATGTGGCATATACTAATTTCCTTATTTTTTTTTTACTTTTCCGTTAAAAGTTTATTCTTCTCGAAAAATAACACTTTTGCCTTTTACACATCAGTCACTATGTGTTTTCACTATTTTTTCACTCTCTCTATCATTGTTGGGAGAAAAATTTGATCACTATATTTAATTTTTGGTTGAGAATAAGGAACAATGATAGAGATAGTGAAAAATTATAGTGAAATTAGATAATGACAAATGAAAAATAAATACACCACACACTACTAAATATGTTTATAATTCTAGAGAGAAAATAAAAGTTCAATGAAAAAGTGACAAAAAATAAGAACCATGATTAGTCCACGTCATTCATTATATTTTGTCACTATCTTTATTCACTATATATATATATATATATCATTTTCGCAGAATAAGCGAGTCCCGCTCTTTTTTTTTTTTTTTGCAATTACATATTGAAAATGAAGAAGAACTGTGGTGGAGTACTGCAAATATTTGGATGGAATACGTCATGTACAATTATTGATCACCAACTAATTTTATTTTGATATATTTAGAATTCTTTTGTAATTTGCTTCTAGGATTTATGAAGTGCTTCAAAGGTTTATCATTTTCGGAATTCTCATGTCTTATACTTCATTTGTTCCAAAATAAATGTCCTTAAAAATGAGCATGATCGAATTTAATATGTAATTACAATTTCAAAACTGTACCGTTATAAAATGAGCACGGTCGAATTTACTATGGTACACAATTAATAGTTTTATACCATAAAAATACTTAACAACCCCTCCCCCGTTATGTATTTCCTCCCCATTTACAAATTTTTGAAGGAGTTAAATGACAAGTCATAAATTAACCCTAGGCCTATTGGGCCTAGGATTAGGTTATTTGGAGATTAAGTCACCACTTAAACCTAATACGACTAGGTTTCAGAAAACAGGTAACACCACCTCTATATAAAGAGGTGGTGCCTCTCTCATAATACAGATCTTCTACCTATCTTCTATACACGATACACATCCTTCTCTCTCTATTATCTCTATTCTTTTACTGACTTAAACATCGGAGTGTCTATCCTCGGGAGACACCCGAGGCTCGGACTTATAGGTTTTAGGCCGTTCGCCGCCGCATAGATCATCATCACCGCCCGTCCTAAACACCGTACAAATCCAAGCTTCGTCATTAAAGATATTATTTTCTTTTGCATTTTTTTTGGTCCGATTTGTGCCTCATTTGGGTTTTCATTATCTACATTTTGTCTCTTGTGGCACAAGTAGTTGTTTATGCAGGGGAAGTGTTTAATTAATGGCAGCAGATGGGACGAGATATAAATTTAGTGAAATACTGATGCTTTTTCTGAAGGCAAATTTATTGATCACATTGACATAAATAAAACTCAAACGCGCAAGTCTCTAACTGGTTTGGTAAAATGATTTGAAGAAGAATTAATGCAAAAGAAATCAACAACACAAAGTTCTTTTCTTCTCCTCTAAACATTTTGAAATTCTTTAAAATTAAAGTTCATCTTAATTTTAGGCTCCTTTGAATGAAAAACAATTCAGATTCTTACTCTTTCAAACTTCACCGAAAAAAAAAAAAAGAAGAAGAAGAAAAAGAAAAAAAATCAAGAAGAAAGGTAAGCTTCGTTGTGAAAATGGCCTAAAGCTCCATTTCTTCCACGTATTAGGAGAGTGAGTTTTGCATGTCTTCAGAATATATTTTGCCTTGTAAAAAGTACTATTACACAATAGCCAGGTTTAACTCTAAATCCATATGGTGGGGTCATCAATACTAGATGGCATCCATATTTAACCATTCCTACTCCTACCATAATTAAATACTTAGTCCGTCCCAAAATTCTTGTCTAGTTAAATCTAAGTTTTTATATCAATTTATGTTTTATTTCAGAACGAAAGGAGTACTTAGGAGAAATGTCATTAATAATGAATTATTTAGAAGAAGAACCAGAAAAGGGTGATGAATACAAATTAATCCCCACGGCCGAATGAAAAATAAATTGACAGCGAGTAATATTGTTGTTAGTCTAGGTTTTTTGACGCCAACCATAAAGAACATTCAATTAATTTCTGGAGGACGTATCGTATTTATTGTGTTTTGAAGTCTCTTTTTCTCCCTCCAATCCAATATACATGTGACAAATTTAAGACCCAAGGTAGAAATCAATTATATACAGGTTCCTTAATTAGTTCAAAAATCCAAAACTGATTTTTGATCATCTAAACTCTATGCAAAATTGATAATCAGATACAATGGATGATGGATCCAAATACACTATTCTGCATTCATTCCACATCATAGAGCTTCAAACTGTATAGTGTATGTTTGGTTTATTTTATCTCGTTCGATATGCTTAATTATTACACTTTATTCTGTGAGTAAAATATTTCAAATAAGGAAATACGAATTCATGATTAAACGACGGAGGCAACACGATATAATAAACATTTAAAGGCGGGAAAAAGTACATCAATTGGTACTACTACACGTAAGCAGAAAAATTCGAGCGAACACAAACTATAAAAGAACATAAAAAAAAAAAAATTAACAGAGTAAAAGAATTTAAACACGCACTGTTCGCGCAACGTTACTACAGACATATGAATCATATAATCGGTTTACATCCTCCCTGGTCATTATTTGAATTGGGCTATCTGGAGTCTAACTTAGTGGTATGTTTATTTCGTTTTTTTAGTGTGTGTTTTCAGGTGTTTTTTTGTATTGGGAATGTAAAAAGGTGTATTAAAAATTTAAAAAGATATGCTGCGATAGGACAAATATTATTATATTATATTATTAGTGGCCCAAAATAATTTTGTATTTGAGTATGGAAAAAAAAGGTATTGATCATTGAACATTTTGAACAATAATAAAAGGAGGGGGAAAAAACGCACATTGGAGGGAATATATGGGTGTGAATCGTAGAACCACCATTTTAGTGGTCTTGGGCATCTTGGCATGACACCTGAGTACTTGGGACAAAATATAAAGAAAGTGAATCGTACGTGGATCCGATTAGACCGAATAATCCAATGGACACAAAAGGGTACGCTGACTCACAATCGAATCATATACTAGAGTATAGATCCGGATAGCGTCTTGCGACTTTTTCCTCGTACCGTACTTTGTTCCCAGTTTTCCAGTAAGCCGGTTTTCGTATTTGACTATATCATTTCTTATTTTCTTTTATTGATAGAATATGACTAATTAAAAGTTTCAAGATCTCTTAATAATATCTGTGTAGCTAAAAGTACGGAATACCGGTATTAACCTTACATATTACGGTAATTTATATCCTAAACATAATTCACATTAGGAGGTAAATTTGTTGAAGAAGTTGTGTTATACGTTTATAAAAACCTAAAACAGGGAAACATAATGTAAAATTCACGCATTACGGAAGATTACAGAAGGATAAACTGTGTAATTTGTTAGTCATGTACGGAACGATAAAAGTGGAACGAAACAATGAAAAATTAGAATGACTTCCGATGGATTACATATTAACATCCCTACCCTAACACAGAATTTACACATTGCAAGTTTTAATCAGTGACCGAAATCTCTCAGATACTGTACATATTTATTTCTCCAAGAAAAAACTTTAACAAAAAGAAATACTCAATGATGTCTAGTCAGCATTTCTATTTGGATAAGGTTGCCACCTGTCTTTCTCTCTTACTATTTCCTCTCTCACACACAGTCACACACTGCAAAAGTCTACAATCCACCATCACCGGATTACCTATAAATTCTCCGAAACAAATCTTGCTAATCCATCCAATCCAGTTTTCACTCTCATTCATCCCTAACAACCGTCAATCGTCAATCGTTCTCTACAGGCATTGTTTCATTTCTTTTTTTTTTTTTTTGGCTTTAAAGTTCATTTCTTTCAGGCTCTTCAACAAAATCTCTTCTGGTTCTTTTTCTTATTGGTTTCTGACACAATACAAGGAAAAAGAGAGACAAAAAATATCTATCACCCAAAAAAAAAAAAAAAAAAAAATCTTCAAGAAAAATGTTGGCAATCTTCAAGAACGGTTTGGTGGAACCACCAAAAGAATTGAATAGCCCGGCCTCAGAATCACAGGCTGCTTCTTTGATGCTGGCTAAGGTTCCTGAGGAGACATTGAAGGATTTCATGGCTTCCCACTCCAACAATGGCTTCTCCCTCGGCTTTGCAGATCATGCATTGCTGGCCTATGCCCCTCCTCAGCGATCAATCAGTAGTGCTGATCAGAGGTACATTTTCCAAACCCCTTTTTCGCTTACATTTCATCATGAAAATGGATTCTGGGAAAAGGGAAAGTTTGAATCTTTTTTGATACAGGAGATCTTTTCTGCATTGTTGTTTGGGTTTAATGTTGGCTCTGATCTTTTGTGCAGGATGTTTTGTGGTATCGACGACATATATTGCGTCTTCCTGGGGAGTTTAACTAACCTATGGAATCTCAACAAGCAGTATGGGCTATCAAAGAATTCCAACGAGGCAATGTTTGTGATTGAAGCATACCGCACCCTCCGTGACAGGGGACCCTACCCTGCTCATCAGGTGCTCAAGGATCTGGAGGGCTGTTTCGGATTTGTGATCTATGATAACAAGGCTGGAACTGTGTTTGTTGCACTTGTAAGTCTGCCCCTCAGTCTTGTTCCTTTCAGTGCACCAATCCTATTGTTATTACATTTTGGTTCTCTCTCAAAATTTATATATATATATATATATATATATATATTTCCTCTGTGTGCAGGGTGCTGATGAAGCAATAAAGTTCTACTGGGGAATTTCTGCTAATGGTACTGTCATGATTTCTGATAATGTGAATCTGGTTAAAGCCAGCTGTGCCAAGTCTTTTGCTCCATTCCCTGCTGGTACGTAGCTTTTTGTTCCTCCTTTTTTGATTTCTCAGAGTTTTTGGTTCCTGAATTTGGGGAATAGTACCTACATTTCTTCAAAAAGACAACATTGTTACCGGAGATGAGTGTTTGAAATGGTTTATTAGAGCGGTAATAAAACCTACAACTAGGCATCCCGATATCTTCCTTTTTTAATGGAAAGGGGCTAATAAGAAAAGTAAAATAAGTTCCTTTCTTAGCATTCTAAAAGATAAGCAAGATAATTCGGTACGAATTGAAGGAAAGTCTCATTTCTTATTGGACCATTCAATGCAGGGTGTATGTATCATAGTGAAAGGGGATTGATGAGCTTTGAGCATCCCATGAACAAGATGAAAGCCATGCCAAGAGTAGATAGTGAGGGGATAATGTGCGGGGCGACCTTCAAGGTTGATGTCTTAAACAAGATGCATAGCATGCCAAGGGTAGGAAGTGAGGCTAACTGGTCTACTTGGGGACAGCAAGCCTGATAACATATAGCACTCTACCTGTTGACATGATCTGGAATCTACATATTCACCTTTTATTCTCGTCTTTTTCCCAGTGAAGCTTTTATTTCCCCTGTTTGTTTCCTTGTTAATTTCACCCTCCCATGTATATTTTGACTTGAGGGTTGTTCTTAGTAGAATGGAAATGTTTGGCTTTGGTAGTCTTTCGGCCAAATTACGAGTCGGTATGCAAGCCGTTGTTGTAATCTTCAATCTTTAGAAGAATTTCATGTTACTCTGGAGCTTTAAAATAAATCTATCCGGTTCTGGATTTAAGATTATGCTTTTGCTCTTATTATGATCCAGGCCTAGAATCTGATAATTGCTTTTCATAAAATACATGATTGATCCTAACAAGAAGTTGATGTCTTAAGGCTCTAGCACTAAGTGTCACATCCCCCAAAATGAAAAGGAAATGCTAACTCGAACAGTTCCTACCTATTTTAATTATCGCTTGTTAAGTCAAATTTATTAGAAGTTGGTGCTCATGTGTTGTGCATAGTATGTGTTATACAGTTCGCTTCTCATTTGCATCTGTTAATACAAATCTTGCAACTATTTATTAACACCTAAATATCACTGTTTATAGATCAACCAAAGCAAAGAGGTAGTTGTGAAAGAGAGTGAAGAAATTACAACAGTACCTGTTTCGTGTTACTGTGGCAAAGCTTCCAAACTGAGGACTTCTTGGACTGATGCTAACCCTGGCAGAAGGTTTTTATGCTGCAAAAAATACGGAGTAAAGTCTTGAATTCAGAACTTTTCTGCCATCTGTTGTGGAAGTGTAAAAGTGCAAGACTGATGAAAGTTTTTTTGCTTTCTTGACTGTGTTATAGAGAAGCAGCGGGTGTGGATTCTTCCAATGGTATGATAAACCGATGTGTGAGCAATCAACATGGGTAATTCCAAGCTTGCTGCGCAATGTAAGAACGCAGGAAGCTGAACTAACGAGACACAGGCAACGAGAGAAGTTGCTATGGTTTGCTCTGGTTGGCTCTTGGATATCTGTACTATTGATCTTCATCTTTTTAAGTGAGGGAGGAAGAAGGGAGCATCAGCAAAGCAACGAATTGTGAGCCTGCAGAGTGCAGAATGGATTGACACTCACCAAAAACTATTCTTTTATTCTTTTTGTTCATTGATCTCTGTGATTGGCATCTCAAAGGTTGCTATGCCTTTTCACATAACCAGTATAAAGTGGAATTTTTTGTAAGATACAAAGACCGACTCCCTTCACATTTTAACTCGTAAATGCAGAACACAAAAACTTGTCATCCCTATGGCATGGTAGAGGTCTCTAGAATTCTTAGACGAATAAAAATCAGCAAGGTAACAAAAATTAGAGGCCATGGTCTCACGTGCTAGCTTTGTAACCAGAAACTTTCCCTTATAAATAAATCAGAATGTAAGATGCGTAAACTTGAAGAAGGAACAAGCCAAAAGTACTTAATAAAGAAAGAATATAAGTGGACCATAAAGAAAAGGAACAATGCCTGCAACTTTGGATTTACATATATTACTCTTCTGAAAATTGAGCAAATGTGCAAAAGAATTGTAATCAAACTACACATTTCCTTTTTAAGCTAACATTATATGTCAGTGTAACATACAAAAATGAGAAACAAAAAACAAGCTAGATCCATCACAGTCCAGATTCAAAAAAAGAGCCATCACTCTTGTCGAATGAGGAGATGATCACCCAAATGCAGTTAAATGCTTAGAACCATGGCGATAAATTGTGGACGACGCAATCAATGGGGATTAAGGCTATAAAGAAAAGTTTCAAGTCTTCCAACATGATGCTGCAATTCTCTGGTAAACACTCTTTTATACCAGGAGTGCACATCTCTCATGACTTGTGATGCCTCCTCCACGTAAGTTTTTTTGAAAAGGTCCTTCAAGTAAGTTGGAAGGCACAAAAGCATTCTGTGTGCTCTAATAAAGTTAATCAATCTGAATCCACAAATATCTGCAGAATGTCCCCAGAAAATATCACATTAGAATCGCAACGACTAGAGTGGACTTCACTCCACAACGGTGAACTTATTTCATCAGCGATCACTATTAGTAATATTCTCTATTCTACCCAATACGTGAAGTGTTTTGTGTGATATGTGGGGGTTTTCCCTTCTTGTAATTCGGGAGCTGAGGTTTGACTACGTTACACACACAAATAGCATACAACCTACAGCTGACCAAAACATTCCATGCCATTGCCATTTCGGTTAAAGGACCAGTATACCCATTGTAATTTCACGTGGTATTAGGTAAGAAAATTACAAACCTCTAGTTCTACCAAGGAATCGTAAGTCTTCTTCTCCCGAGTGTCAAACACCGTGATTCCATTGATTTTTTGAATCCCGCGCTTCGTGGCGATTAAATTCTGCAAATTATGAGGACATCACAAATCATGCGGAATGAAATGTAGAATCTCCAAGTAACTTCAACAAGTGGCCACTTATATGATCATCATTCAAGTGCCAATGAGTTAATATTGATGTAACAATACTTGAACCAAATGAAATGACAAGCAATCTGATACCAAATCTTCTTACCAGCTGAAATTCGGAGGAACTTAATGCATCCACCTGTGGCAGAGGCTGTCAAAGAAAAAGTTAGCATCTAACGAAATTTCCACGAAATTGATACGGTGAAGTGCATAGAGCTGTCATACTAAGGTGCAAAGGTTTTGATTCCATAGTAACATTCCAGGGAAGGGTTGCCCCATAATGCACCACATATGCAGCCTGCCTAGATTTCTGTAAATTGGTTGTGCAACTCAAACTCTGTCACCAAAGGTCATTTGGCAACAGTTTTTTTTCCCCCCACGGAGCCTAGGCTCCCTTTTAAAGTAACACCCATTCAAATTTACAGGGAAGAAACCAACCAGGAATATAGTAAAAGTTCTAATGAGAATGCTGATTACAATAAAGAAACAACAGCATATTATAGAAAGTGGATTAAGTAAAAGGTAGAGTTTGTTTAACACATACTGAAGCCTCACCATCATCTGAAGGCCATTAACCATCACAGCCTTCTCATCAAGAGAATCACTTTGTGATAACCAAACTTGGAAAGGTCCCAGTATCCTTTCTGTCTGATTTCTGAGATTCAAGCGAAGCTGTGATAATAGGGAAAATAAAAAAATTAGAAAAAAAAAGAGATGAGGCTGTGAAATAGTGAAAATAGTGAAAATGAATAAGGTCATTAGAAGCCAACGAAGTGCCCTAGGATTTTCAGCATGCCTAAGTGATGGCATCAGGTTTTATGAAGCTCTTTCAATTTTTGTAGCTGAGCCTTTCTTTTCTGTTGTACATTTCTTCTGTTATCCAGGTTTGGATCATAACAGCCAGGTTGAACACAAAATTTGGTCCAACCCTCCTTCCCATGTTTTAATTCAGTTATACAATGGCTGTTCAAAAGATTCTCTCCACTACTTAGTTCAAAAGAGATAGGGAAAGGAAATAATGAGAATTATCATATCTCAGTTCAAAATCTTCAACAGCTGGAATAGGATCAAATACTTTTCTATTAGACTTGACATTTCTATCACTACAGAAGCCAGAGAGAAAAAAATAGATGAAAATGCAACACAAAAGGATAAATCTGCTGGACCCGGGGTTGGGAGCCAAAACTATAGCCATAAGCCTATGACCCTTTGGTTATCACAAACTCAATCACTATATTCCCTAAGCTTAAATTAGCTAAGAGACTAAAACTTACCGAGAAGGGCTTCTCCAAGAGGACAACAGACGGGGCCTCAATTGCCTGCAGTTCAATGTCTTTCTGCGCAACAGGCTGAAAGTAAAAAAATACTGTCATTAGCAGGCAGAAAACTTGGATCAACAACACAAAATTGTAGGTTACACAATCAGGCATGAGTTAAAGAATTCCTTGTATCTCAATAACACCAAGAAAAATAAAAAGACAAAGCATCATGATTCGTTCAATTCGCTGCTAGATTTCAAACAAAAGGCAAATCAGTGTGAGGTATATAGTTAACAGTAGGGAAAAGATTTGCTGTGTTTCACTTACACTGCCCAAGATTTGCTGTGTTTGCAGACGACCAGGTTCCCCCAGGTTTGTTCGCCATGTTATCTGCAGTTTACCAAGAACATTGCTACCCTCAACCTTCACTTGCGGATATCCTTGCACAGAAGATTTCAACTTATAGAGATAGTTGTGAATTCCTCCTCCTGATCTGATAAGAACGGGTGACTTAAACAACTCCCTGCCAGGGAAACACAATGGTTAATGTTCTACGATGTAAACGTAAAACTAAATAAGACCACCACCACCTAGCAATCCGTTACTGCAACAAGAAGAAGTTTTGAACTACCTAGTCAATGAATCATTTTCTGAGATATTATCTTCAGCTCGCAGTAAAGTTGCAGTCCAGTTTTGAGCTGGCTCAAACTCTACTTGGTCCATATACAGATTAGTTTTGGTATGATTTTCTATACATGCCTCCAAGAAAGTTGCATCCTGAGAGAAAGACAATAGTTGACTATCAAAGGGAGATCGCATCCAAACCCACACTGAATTGTCAAAACGGGGCTTGATTCAGCAGAGAAAAATTCAGTATAACAACCCAGAATCTGCACTTTATCTAAGGATAAATATTATCCTCACAAAAACTCCAAGCATTTCCAATATCTCTAAACATGGAATGTGGATGTTTTGCACAGAAAACTCTGCATGACATTGAAATGAGTATGAATAGACTCTTTATTGATTCTTGCAACATGACTGAGGCAAGAAGACACAAGTCCCACAGAAATCGCTTTCATGCACCACATTATCACCACATTTATAAGCATGGACATTTGGCGAGAGCGAAAACTTACACTAATTATTAAATATAATCAACGTACCTTGACAACACGGACCTGCAAAAACGTGATGGAAAGGGATAAGTTAGAATGAGCAGAAAAAGATAGCATTGAGATAACACACTCACACAGCCATGCACATACACACATGAAGCAAATAACCTTAATAAAGCAATCAGCTTTTCATTCTTAATTTTTTTTGAAATAAGCTCCTTGATGGAGTTTTTTAAGGTGCATGATAGTAATGATAATATCTCACAAACCATAGAAACAGGGAGCAATAGTACCTTCGTTCTCACTGAAAGTGGATTTGCAACAATGAATTTGAAAAACTGAGGAAGATATTTTCGTTCCCCATCACCATCATTGTAAAGAGCTGTACACACCAACCTATCAATATTCCAACACAAACACGAGGCTAGTTAGAACATAATGCGAGGTGAACTAAACTAGATCATCATTAATAAATGGAACCCACGTGTGAGCACCGAGCTCCTTCACGTCATGCTCCACAATAAAATCATAACGCCCTCCAGCACGAATTGTTTCCACAGGTGATTTTGATGTGTCTAAGAGCAATATCCTCTGTCTCTCAGTCTGGATTTCTGCCTGTGAAAAGTAGCGTGAGAGTTTCAAATCAAAACATGTGAAAAGTAGCGTGAGAGTTTCAAATCAAAACATGGTCTTCGACAGAAAATCATAGAAAAGAAAGAAAAGGTGATCTCGAACTAGAATGTGGATAAAACAACAATTGGCAAAAGCAAACACAGTTGGATCATCTTTGAATGACCTCTCAATAACTCTTCCAATCCTAAAGCATAATCTTGCTAATACGGAAGTTCCATTACAGTTCTCTCATTTCATTTTCCCACCACTGCTTAAGCTTTTTGATCAAATTGAAGACACTGAAATTCCTAGTACTCTGAGTAAAAAAATCAAATAAGATACCTCAGCTTCATAGTTTTGGACACCTTAGGATACTTCAATAAACATTAATCAGTGACCTTAGTGAATTCTGATTGAGTGGGATTATTTCCCACTTCAAAAACTCCAAATTTCCAATCTGGTTCATCAACCATGTCGCACGCACATCATTCGTTGGCACACAAGGAGGCAAAAACTTAGCCAACCCAACAACTTAAAAGGAAGAAAAAGAAAATGAAAATCAAAGAGATATTCCAACCTTAATGATAATGTCCCGGGCTTCGAAATTGGAACTGTTGTTTATACTAATGTAACTGCAGAACGTCTCCCCCAAATAAATTGCCCTGCAAAATGCCAACAAAAAGTCCACAAAATGAATGAAAATTGAAATAAAACTAACACCGAGGGAAAAAAGAAGAAGAAGAGGAGTACCCAAAGGACTGAGGGAGAACGAGGAGGGAAGGGAGGCCGAGGGAATCAGAAGGATGAGAGAGGAGGAAACGGGAGCGGTAAGTGAGATCGGAGGAAGGGTCGGGGATGGAATCGGAAAGGAGACGGGGAAGATGAGCGGCGGCGGAGGGGTGGTCGAATAAGTCTTCGCCGAAGAGGAGATCACAGGGGTCGAAGAGGAGAGGGGTTTGGACATGGAGGGTGGGCCTACATAGCCTCATCACCCTGAATGCCAGTGAATGCGCTCCCTGACTACTGCTGCTGCTCATTTTTCCTTTCTTTTCTGTTTTTCAGTTTCTGCAAACTGAATGAGTTTTCAAGTATTAACTGATTCAACCACCGCAAACGCCGCCGTCCACCACCACTTGCTGTTTAAGCGAGAATAAGACTGACCCTGCACTTCAAAGGCGTGATTTAAAAGCTGATGTTTAAACTGCGCCTCATTTACGTCGTTCTTTTCTCTTTGCTCCTTATGAATATAATGGTGTCAATATTTTCGTTTATTGTTTTATACTTGTATACTTACTATGTTCAAAAATTATTATCCAATTTGAATTTTTATTTTTATTTATTTTTGTACTGTAAATTAAAATCTAAATTGAACAATAATTTTAGAATGAAAGTACTCCCTCCGTCCCATAATTATTGTCCACTTTGCTCAAAAAATTTTGTCCCAAAATTATTGTCCAATTTGACTTTTTATGGATCAAGTTACACATTTGTCCTTAGTAAAAAAATATTATTCATAAAATCTTAGTGGTTAAACAATTACTTATGTAGGGGTATATCTGGTTGTTTAAGATAAAATATAGTTAAATTTGACCAAAAATAAAATCTTTCATTTTAATAAAACTGGACAGTAATTATGAGACGGATGGAGTAGTACTTTTCTTAGCTTTTCATTTTGTTTGAATTAAAATCTTATCATTTATTCAAAAAATATGTTATGCAAGATTGCAAGTAATAAGCTTGTGTTTGTCTGTGTTTCTATTTTTGAAGTCTTCCACAAAATTTCACTGCTTAATAGTTCGTCCGACTCAAAATTGATATCCACACAAATGTATAATTTAACGTATAAAATTTCTTTATTTTGGCAAAGAAGGATTAAAGTGTACGACAAACATATCAATTGAGATTTGGACATTTTGTTAGGGTAGCTGAGTGGATACCCCTAACGCACAATTTATCTCATTTACATCTTTGAAGAGGTTATCGGTTACAAGAGCAGAACATGTTTTGGTTGCAAACCACTGTTAAGACCATGTACAAATTTTGAAACTTCATTCCCCTTTTCTTTCCGTATATGAGACAGCGGACAAACAATAATAATCATCTCATGAACCTGAGACCAACTGAATTCGTCAGCAAACCACAAGTCATCGGGCATTGTGCTTGAGGACAGCACTGTCCATCATTCCGGAGTTAGGTCTCCCTCCTTTGAAACACTCACACACCACAAGTCCACAACTGGGTTAAGGAAATATTGCAAAGCTGACTAACCAGTATACATCTCCCCTTCTGGTATTATGCCCGCCTGATGTCCTACAAAGATGATAAGCTCGAGACCCCTTTTATCAGTACTAGGATATGAGAATCCCATGTATTTTCCATTCGAGCTACAGCACTCTGACCGCCAAGCTTTTTAGTTGATCTCCACAACAATAACAGACAGAGACAGAAGATGGCTAGAGCAAAAAGTTACATCAAAAGCAGGTTGCTTTCTCTGTGAGAAAATGGTAGCAGGTGAAAGAGCTATACCACACGAACCCAGGTTCCGCCACACATTGGACAGCCATACGCCCACCGGCTTATCCACCAAAGTTCTCTCTCATTTTGATTATGCGTAGAGCTTGCACTGGCTATATCAAATGCAGAAGTCTGCCGCAAGCATCTTATACACTGCACGGGAAGTTGCAATGAATATAAGGGAAAGCTCAAACTGAATTCAGTTTTAATTCATCTACAGGATTGGGGTTATTGGGGTTTTGCGGCAGAAACGGAGCTATTTTGCAATTCTACCAAGAAAAAGCTTTACATACGACATCAGACAGAAGAAGTAATACACTACTTGCCAATTAAACTTTAACCCATACCCATAGAAAACAGTAAAGAGGTCAAAAAGATAAAGCAGAAGCCATTAGTGAGAAGGAAAAAAGATTATGAAAAGAAAAAGCAGCTTGCACTAGATAAGAACAAACCTTGTACCAAACTCCTTCCAGTCCAGTTTTCCATACGGCTGTAACAACATCCCTCCGAGACCCCATTATACCAAGATATGCTCCAAGACCAACTGAAGTATTCAAACCAAAAGCTGCATCCCTTTCAGACATCCTCCGCTTCCTCGGCCACAACCCATGAGCTCCATAATAAACATCACAATTGTCAGTTGAGGTTCCATCGATTAATTCTCTCGAAGGACTCGATCTAGTAGTATCTTCTGCAGGACCTGTATCCTCTGGATCAGACCAAGGACCGCCAAACATATTCTTTCTGTGCCATTCTTCAGCAGGAGGATGAAGTTCCAACTCACGGAGTAGTAAACCAGCTGCATCAGCACCTCTAGGCCGTGGCATATACTGCAAACAACACCCAATATATTGAATAACAAGAGTCTTGTTTGTTGAAGTTACAACTAAGATGCTTAACTAATGAAGCTTCCGCATTAACACTTTTACTGAGAATATTGCGTATTTCTAATACTACAAGTCAGTGAAGCTATTCCATGGTGTTGGAATCTAACACATTGGCATCACGGACCAGTCAGACTATTTCTTACAAGTACTTCATTCTAGTCATGCAAGTAACAAGCTTCTCAAAGAAGGATTTTGCACCACGGGCAGAAATTCAGCACTAAAAAAAGAATTTGATAACATTGTCTTGAGATGGTCGCATTAACTAGAGAATAAAAATATCTATTCCAAGAAAGTTCAATAATTTGGTGGAAACCAGTACCTGCATATGAGGACCAAGGGAAGCTTCGACGACCTCTGGTAGAACAGTGTAATTCCCATCAATATAGTGAAGCCGGACCTGAATGTTGCTGCTTCCGACCTGAGAAACAGGAAGCGGATGTGCTAAACCTTGAGTTCGGCGGCAGAGATCCATCAGAATACGGAAAAGGACCCTAACCTGCAACATAATGAAAAATCAGTTCATATAACAAGTTGAATAATTGCAAAGATAACTTGTTTTTGAAATCCAAGTACTAACTTCCCATCACGCACTATAAAACCGTGAAGGCAAATTTACTTAAGATATCTCAACAAACTTTAATACACATAATAAAATACCTTCAATTCTATATCGAGAATATAATTCCAGGAACGACACCCCTTAGCAAAATTCATCAAAATTATGCATGTTTAGTCTTATATCCATTGCAAGTGGAGCTGGAAGAGTCATTATTGACAATTCTTTCAGCTTTGTGCTAATAATGGATTAGATCAAAATGGCTCATTTAAATTCCGACGCTTCTTAATTTGGTGAAGTTGCCGGAAATCAAAATATCAATGCACCAATGCATCTTGGGTCATACTGCTTAAACAGCCTCTCTGTATTGAAATACAGGGGTAAGGCTGCGTACATCTTGACCCCTAGACCCCAACCGAGTTGGGAATATACTGGGTATGTTGTTGTTGTTGTATACATGATTAGTCTTATCTTTAGTATTTTCCATAAGGAGGTCATTTAAGTAGGACCGGGAAAGCACGCCACCCATAAAAATCTTTATTTTAAGGAACAGCAGCATCCAGTTATTATTCAAACAAACTTCACGCCCAGCTGGCAAATTCTAGGTGCATGTAATTATGTAATAGTCAATCAGACATCTTGTTAACCCAATTAGATAAAGTTTATCACTTCTTGCTTGCTTATAGAAGTAAGCAAAGACAACTTAAGGAACCCAAATAGAGTATGATGCCATTGTTAAAGGAGGACCACATAGAAGTAAGCAAAGACAAACCAGAAGGAACCCAAACAACTGAGAAATTTAATCCAATGCAGGAACACTTCAAAAGAAACATTATCAGCGTTAACGAGTATGTTTATGCAAGCTGATCTTGACTTCCCACGATATGCAAGATAAACTAACTGACAGCCAAGCTTATGTGTTTTCCATAAAGCATGGCCCTCACATAAAGAATGGTTCACTTTCCTGACTAATGACTTCATAAAAAGGACTTCCCTGTTATGATTAAAGAACCTGTGAAAAGGTGCACAAGATATTGGGAGCTGGAGCTGATGACCAAAAGGATAGCAAGCTGCATTCAATAACTTCTACAAGTTTTCAAATATAGAATGTTGGGGGAGAAAGGATCTCATTAGTACCTCCTCGAATGTGTATCCTTGACCAGCGTTACCAGAACCTAACCTTGAGCCTTTGGATAGACCTTCTTCTGATCCTTTTGCTGCAGAACCGACTTGCCCAGCCCTTGGAACCTGTTTTTCGTCTGGCCTAAGAGCAGATGACTTAAGAGAGTTGGAATCTTCTGCTCTACCCGGACCATTAGGCTGAGGTTTTTGGGCCAATGCATCAGCATTTTTCTGAGGACCTGGTGCACGTGGTAGTTGCGCTCGCCAAAAAAAATAACAAAAAAGTAAAAGCTGACACAATCTACGAAGGAAATGGCAATCCCCAATAAGCCTAACAGCTGGAGTTCCGGGAAAAGTGCCAGTGTTAATACTAATTGGCATAAAAGTTGAAGGACCACTGATGGGATTAGGGGCTGCATTTGGAGCTGCATCAGCAGTGCTACTGATCTTAGCAATAGCCCCTTGTACCCATGCTTGCATTTGTGTACTTCCTGTGGAACTTGCAGTCCCACCTTGTGTTCCTGCATAAGGCAATTTACAGTTTAAAGGAAAAATACCGATCATGCAATAAAGTACAACAGTAGCCGGAAAGAATTTGAGAATAGAAAGGAAAAATGAACTTATCACCAAAATATTAAAATGTAAAGATATACAAGGGTTCCGTTTAAGTTCAGCAAAGACAAGTATTTTCTATCACACCAATGTGAAACATAAATAAATCACCTTGACTAGTAGCAGGAGAAGCAGAACTTTGTGTCGGACTTGTAACCATACTCCGGCTCCCTCCAGTGCCTGCATTAACTGCATGACTTGCCAGTGTACGGCAGAAACTAGCATAACGCCGCAGTCGTGTGATGAAGTGTGATGCAAGATCAAGTACAGCATCAACATAAGCCTACACAAATATTTGGTCAAATGTTAGGGAAAGAAACCTTAGTCTAGAAGAACAGATTACTATAGTTAGTCAAGCAAGCCGATAAACATTGAGGAATATGAATCTCAGATAAAGCATTTTATGAAAGTGCATGCCTGAATATTTTGGACAAGTGCTGGCTCAACTGTCATTGACTCGGGATCTATACCAGAGACCACCTCACCAGATGGTTGCCATGAGTCTGATATCAGAGCTGAAGGGTTCACCAATGCTGATTCAATACCTTTACAAAGCATATCCAGCAGCAACCGTGCCTGCATGTCAAGAACCATTGCCCTGACTTCTTGAGCATTTGTTCCTTCTAGTAGCCTACATTTTATCCTGTCAAGACTCTGCACCATGTAACAGTATATCAGCAAACGAGATCATGGAAAGTCAAAAACAGATTCAGAAGTAATCAATTGTGCATGTGTAGACAGATACAAAAGTTAAATTAAAGACAAGTCAATGATAATGATCTCAAACGCATAACCCAGATAACAATCGGAAATCATCAAAATTCGGATTATTGAACATACAGGGCCATACTGCTGCCTGTGCTGAGTCGAAGGAAGAGAGTGGAAATCAGCATCCAACACAGCAATTACACTATTCAGGGATACTGCAACAGGGAAATGTCATCAGCAAGAAGACGATAAAATGAAACGGACATTGCCTAGAAAACGTAAGCAGATAGATGCATGTAAACTGACTCCACCATTTTTCATTTCAACCGTCCAACATAAGGAAATATGTTGTCTGCTTAACTTCTATAACCTGATATTAACTGGGCAAACGGAGGGGACATCTTTTCATGAGTTATAACAATCTTGAATAAATCAATTCTCTTAGCAGCATGCGTGACAGCGAAACTACTGTTGCTTCCGTACTCCAGCTTTGACTGCAATCTATTCTACTTCATGTGGGCACTAAATCTTACCAATGAGACAGGAGTCCTAATTTTGGACACTCACCTCAATTCAACTAGAGAATAGAGTAAAGAGATATATCAAGGAATAACGCTGCAAAGGATGATTATTTTCAAATCCATGGAAAAATTGAAACTCAAGTAAATAATACATGTGCCCCACAAAACAATACATTTCAGTAATAAATAAAGAAAGAACAACAAAGTGATCACTCCTTTCATAAAAAATAAAAGACCATAATTTATTTTTAATATGTTAGATGGAAATTGTGAGCCATGCACGCGGTAACGGTAGAATTTATTACCAATGCCATCCTCAGCAGCACTTTGTGTGCACCCAACAGCATCCCACCAATCAACACCCACTAAAAGACTCCACCAAAATCTGCCAAGTCGAGATTCTATGAGGCTATATATTTAATTTTAAAACAAAATGCAGTTAAGTTCTAATAAAACTCCAAACAAAGTGTATCAATCAAAATAATAAATCATAATCATGCATATAAAGAAGTCACAGGATATACCTCTCTGCAATTGCACGTTCCCAAGTAATTGAGCTAGCTTTCATTTGACTATTCGACATAGCAGGAGGAAGAACACGAATTATTCTCAGCATCGTGCAATCCTTACTAGAGTCGTGCCAAACCACAGCAGAACAGCAACTTGTAGAAGAAAAAGCGGGTGCCGCAATTGCAGCACCACAACTGATCTGGTAATAATCAACTTGAGTAAAGCTTTCACCTGAGAAGACATGTACTCCACCATGAAGGAATGCTACAGCAATCTCACCACCATGAGCAGAATACACAATACGTGCTAGAGTTCTAACATCACTAGGCAAATCAAAGGGATCCCAACGGACCCTCTTTGACACCTCAGAGCCAGGGTCAGATGCATTTCTTCCATCAGGAGGTGGTGCTGCAGCAGCTGCTTGAGGACTTATAAAATCACTTGATGCCGGGGTGCACTTGATAACTTTGCTCACCCACACAGTTTGCTTGGGTGCCTCTCCACCAAAAGTAGAAGTGGGATTACCAAATATCTGATGGAGGACAACATTCTCTACAGTTGATTCCCAGCGTTGTAATCTCCATCCATTAATTGTTGGACCCTCATCAAGATCATATGGAGACATGTACTGTCCTGTAAGAAGGAAAATGGAGAAATAATACAAAATAAATAGGACAAAAGAAAAAAATTCCATCATGTAGGTCAAGATTAACTTGGAAGTATTAAGAGATATTAAACAAAGCCAATACAAGGTGTCTAATACCTTCAACAATCACAACGGATATTACAGAACCACCACGAGTTGGATCAAAAGCCACAGCAGTGACACCAGAACCCCATGTGGTAGTAGCAGAAGCTGACTTGCCAGCTGCTTCAGGACTGACATAAGCAGAAAAATTTGAAACAGGCAAACAATGAAGTGTCACCATCTCACTATAGTCTTGTTCTGTGTGTTTTCTGCCTTGTTTAGCTTCGAGCAACCAATATTCTTGCCAGTTGAATAGATATGCTGCCAAAGGGGCAAAACCATCCCAGGATGGAGTGACAGATGGTGGAATCCCATTGCTGATACTAACTTTAGGAGATGCTTGAAAACCATTCCAATGGCCAGGGTTAACCTCCCAAACAACAACCGTAGAAGGATTAACGATGGGAACACCTGCCACGTGCATAGCACCAGAGTCTGTTATGATGGCATCTGCAGCCATAATCCCACTTGGCCCAGCTCCCAACAACCCTTTGCTAGTGCAAAACCACTTCGACGGTGCACTACTTTGACTTGGAGGCCATTGACTCCAATGGAGCTGAATGGAGCCTGATGAGAACACAGAGCATACACACAGAAAATTTGGCCAACCAGCTGCCATATCAACCAAAAGAGCAGAAAAACACATAGTCAGAAAGATTATGGGCTTCTTAACTGCATAAAGTCACATAGTAACCAGAAAATGGAAGTTGTCAAGAGCACTTATGACCCCAATATAATAAATCAATATTAAAACATAAAATAGTATGAATATCCATAGAAAAAAAAAAAAAAACAAAGCTCTTGTTCTGGAGCACAGCAACTCAAAACTCCCAGTGGTAAGCATTTTCCAGCCACCTTTTGCGAAAGCAGATACTAAAGTAACAACTCAAGTTAAACGTTTTTGCATTTGTTCCTTTGATTACCCTGTTTCAGCAGGAATAAGTTGTACATTAAACCCCTAAGTAGTTATCATATACATCAGACTTAAAGGTTCAGAGACAAAATAACCAGGCTCCTACGGCCATGAGCTTTATGGTGTATAAGATATTAAGGTATCCTAGAAATGACATAGCACATATTTTGTTCCAGGCTATGTTAACTAGTGATAAACACCACATACCAACGCAATTCTGCCCAGTTTTGCAAGATCAGAAGATAAAAATGAACCAGACTATATTATGCATCAAAAGGTTCAAAAAACAACAGCCTTTATCTCCATAAAACCAAGAAAGATCTTCTGATGTGTGAATACCATAGCAACACATTAACAGAGAACTACAATTTCATTGGACCAACCTGGAGCTTCTGGCTGCTGGGAAAGGAATTTCTCTTCAAAGGTTGACTTTCCAGAGCCACCTGATCTTGACGAAAGCCACCTATACTAATTTCATGGTACACAAAATCAATGTAACAGAAAACACCACCACAGTAGCCAATCATCACTATCAATCAGAATTAACAAATATTTAAAAATATCATACCGGAGAAACTCCTGATAACCATTTCGTAACTACTGCTATATCCTGGCGCCATTCATATTCCAGCTGCCAGCTACTAGCATCTCTTACTCTATAAGGGGAAGCCTGAAAAACCAAACCAGACATGAAGTGACTCAGAACATTGAGTCAATTATGAAATTGCATGCTAGATACTTTCTCCTGGCAAGCCGCAAAGGTTTCAAAAACCCACCAACCTGTTCTTATCAAGAGTGAAGACAATCATGCTCAACAAAAATGGTACAAAACCTGACATCATAGCTTGCTTACTTGAGAAGGTTGGTTCCAGATGGTTATCCTCCCATGGAAATTAGCAATAAGCAGGGCACGAGGGCAGGCCGTGGGAGACCATTCAATAAACTGAACAGAATCTCGAGGGGAATCTGCAGCACATCCAAAGAGAGAATTTAGAATACAGTATCAATAATTGGGATTATATTGCCAACCATCTCAGCTAGCAAAAGAGAAGATTATATCCAAGACCAACTTTTACAGTAGTAACTGTATGTTGCATAACTCAAGAACTAATGTTGTGTATTAGGATCTAGGCGTCGGACTTGTCAATGTCAATAAATGATGATGTGGGGACATGAGACCACCGCTCCCACAATTTTTTCTTTCTTTTTTTTTTTCTCTCTCTTTATTCTTTAACACCCCTCTCTTATCTCTGCATTCTTATTAAAAACACCGCCCCCTTTTCCTCCATCCTTCTCATTCTGGTCTTCTAATTTCCACGTCTCTCGCCATCCAAGGACAAGTCAAATAGTCCCTGCCATCTCATTCTATAAATCCCTAGTGTTATATTCCTCAGAAATTCAGGAACGTGTCTGATAAGTATTGCACACCTGAATGTGTCAATACAACGAATTTCCATCATATTCGGCAAGTCCTCCGACGAGGGTATTGTTACTTCTGTCTTTTGCCATCAAAGACAGCCTACACAATCTATATAAAAAAAGGGTTTTTGATACAAGAAATCGGGAGAGCAATATATCTCCTACTCACAACCAATCAAAGATCATGATGTCTGTAGAGATTACGAGCAAATCAAGTCTGAAGGAAAAGCAACAATCACAAACTCAAGTTGCCTCCAACATCTTAACCCATCTTTAAAGGATGAATCACTCACACTCAACGCCTTTGAAGTCAGAAGTCACAGTAGGTTGTAGTACAATAAAATAAACTGGTTGAAACAATAATTTCCAAAAGCACTCATTAAGCTGCAAAGAGTACCTGCTATAACATTAAATACTGCACACTCAGTTGGCCGTTCTGGGATCACTATATGTATAGGAATCCAGAATGGAGGATTTGCATTGGAACTGCGTTCAAAAAATGGAACTTTTAGCCGTATGTACAAATTCTGGTTCAGGATGTTCATCCTTGAACATAACTCAAGAGACAAGTTTCACTAGATGAAATCATTCAGATCTTATACCAGTGAACAGCACCTTAGTATCAGCAATAAAAAAAAAAAAAAATCAAATTGTTCAATTTTATGTTAATTTTCCCTTGAGTCTTTATGTTACAAGGTATATCAGGTTTCTTTTTGAGTTTTTATTTCGGCAACGTGACTAATGGGTATGTAAGTACCCAGATCAGATGTTACATACATTCAGCATGTCAATTAAAAAAACGCAATACTAATAAGTCAACTGAAAGGAAAAAAAATTGAAGTGAAATTCCGAACACCATAGACTTGTTCTCTAACCTTGGGACTCTGGCACATGTTTCTGATGCACATGCAATAGCATTGAGCTTACCACACCAAGCAACAGCACTGGAAGAAATTAAAGGTAAGTAAATATCCATAGGAGAGAATAAACAAAAGAATATTAGCCAAAACTGATGGGAAATAAACAGCAGATAACTAGCAAAAACTAACCCTATCGCATATATTGTGAGTATAATATAAAGCCAATAAATATCCTTCATAGCACAAGACATGCAGTTTTTGAGAACACAACCCACTTCTCCCAAATAAACAGGACTGAGAAAGTGTACTATAACAACTTCGTCCAGCGCGTAGGCTGTAGAGTCATACAATGCAATCATGCATTCATGCTCTGGATGGACACATACAATGCCATAGCGTGTTTTTAATAGTTTCATTTTAGGTCTTTCCCTTCTACTTTTAATATGAGTTGACAATTCTACAGTTTCTACTTGTCTTATTAAGGAATCTAAAGATCTCTTACACATATACTAAACAATCTTAAGGGCAATTCTCTCATTTCCTCATCTGTTGATGTCAGTCCAACTTGCTTTCTAATGCATTCATCAAATATCTAATCTAGTGTTCCTACACACCCATCTCCACTTCTCATTTCTGCTATCCACATGTTTTGTTTAATTTTAAATTAGTGGTCCAGCATTTAAATCCAAAAAACACCGCGGCAGTGCTATAAGCTATAGAAGTTTCCTAATAATTTCAGCAGTACTTTATGGTTACAAGTGGAAGACAACCTCTCCATCTACTCCAGCCTGTTTTTCAGCCTAGTGATTCCATGATCACCAATCTTGGTATTGACCATATTGTTACTTCAGTGTTACTAAAATGACAATGTATACATTCAATTTCAGCTCTGCTAATTGTTATTAACTATGATATGGCTCATTGGAAATCTATTGAATCCATGGAACCATGTCAGATAATTAACAAGCTTCAGTGAACGATAGTGCATAAAGAGTGTTAAGAGTTCTAAAAAATATCCCAGAAACCCTTCAAAGCTGAATTTCTTTTCCAAAATCCTAAGAAGTTTAAGAAAATCAATTCCCTGTACCAAACCAAGGCACATAAACTACTATTTTCAATGTCCATGCAGAAAAGATTGAAACTAAGAAAAATCAAGAAAACTCACAAGGAATAAATATCTGTAAAATAATTATTCCAATAATCTATCTCCAATATACATCTGCTAGACACCTCTTCCATATCTTTCTGTTCAGGAAAGATACAGAGGAGCACACCTGTTTCCCACCCTCACTAAAACTAACACTTGAACATCTAATACATAAGAAATCCCGAAATTAAAAAAAAAACAATTCCAAGATTAAAAAAAGTACGCCTAACAGAATTCAATTGTTAAACCATAGTCATGTACCAAAATTGGCGCCAAAATTTTCCCTAATTATTCATGAAATTGAAGCTCAAAGGAAAAGAAAATGATCACCTGAAATTCCGACAAAGCTCTGGAACGCTCATTTTGTGAAGCAAATTAGACTTTGGCTGTTTCAACCGAATACAGAACACGGTAGCGGGATTCACATTGTCGACATCCATGGGATCATCGGCGGTGGAACCCGCCTCCTTCTCCGGCGAAACCATGGCCGTGGACTGCGGTGGGTCTTCCTCCCCAGCAGTAGCCGCAGTATCGCCGTTATCGGCGGTGGGTCCCTTGGAAGCTTCGGGGGGAACAACAACAGAAGAAGAGGAATCTTCCTCGGCAGCAGCAGGAGGAGGAGGAGGAGGAGCAGAGTCGTTGGGAAGTGAAGAAGGGTTTGGATTATTCATCAGAATTTTTTAAATAGGGAAGACCAATTGGGGAGATATAGTAGAATAATTTTTATGGCATTAAGAAAAGAAGAGATTAGAGAGACAAGTGGAAGGAAAGTCGCAATTGAGGGCGACAGCAACCACTGTGTGACTGTGTGTTTGGAGATTTTTGGGGGAAAAAAAGGTGGGGTTAGGGTTTTTGAATTTTTGGGAGAAAATTTGATGAGAGTGAAGTGCAGACAAGTGAGGAGATTCCAGGTGTTTATTGAAGAAAGAGGATTGGTTCCATATTTTCTACTTCCTTACTTCATCAACCTGAAAGACTATTGTTTCTTTCCCTTTCCTTTTTTTACACTCATCTTGAATACTGCGGTCAGTTAATTTACAGTGAATAGATTATGAATGAAATTTCATGTGAACATAGATTCTAAGTAAAATTTCCATTTCCTCCGTCTAAAAAAATAATAATAATAATAATCTACAAAATTGTTTGCCATGTAATACAAATCACAAATTATAATGTGAATTATTTTTATTATGTAAATCAAAATCTCAAAAGTACATTTTTATTCGTAACCTTCCATTCAACTCTAACTTGTAACTTCATGTATAATTTACGACACTTAATTTGTTCAACCTTGTTAGTCAATTACTCCATTTTAACTTACATAAATCTGGAAGTGAATGCTTGAAAATACCAAAACTTTAATTAGAACTAGTCTTGACTTTATAAGAATTCACTAAAAAATAAAACTTTTGTATGTTGATTTGCAAAAAAAAAAAAAAAAAAAGGGACATTATTTTAAAATGAGCTTTTTTACTTTTTTTTTTTCAAAAGGGATTAATAGTGATTTCTCACTTATCCCTAACGTGACTTGAACCAGTGACCTATTGAAAACAAAGAAGGTTACCACTAGACTGAATCTCATTATCAAATGAGCTTCTTTACATGTAAATCGTACTAGCAAAAAACCTTAGATATTATACGACTATAAAATCCTTCATTTGATAAGAATATATATTGCATTGTAGTTCATATACTCTCACTTTATTGGTACAAAGGTAGTATATATAGTTTTACACACATAAACCAATACATTACGAAATACCCTATCTTAATAATATTGTGAGTAACGGTTTGACTAGTCATGAACCATAGCTAATGTAGTAGACCAATAAATACATTCTCAGTTTCTGGCGAAACTGAAAACGTATACTAATTAACCCGAACACAATCGTTAGTTTTTCCAACTTGGCCAACACCGGACTAATTTTTTGCTTTGGAAAAGTGTGCCCCTTATGCATATATTTTCGCCAGTAGAGAAAGATCACTCTTGGGATACATGGTAAGTCCAGGCATAACGTCCATATCAATGTCTTTACAAGTGATCCCATTTGGCAATTCCCAGTCGAAACAACACAAAAGATTGGCAAGTGCAAGCTCCACAGTGGCCATTCCTAAAGAGATTCCAGGGCAACCTCTTCGTCCCGCTCCAAATGGAATAAGTCCAAAATCGTGTCCTTTCACATCAACTTTACTATTTATAAACCTTTCAGGAATGAAATCATCTGGGTTTTTCCAGTACGTTGGATCTCTGCCGATTGCCCAAGCATTAACTAAGACTAGGCTTTTGTTTTCAATGTCATAGCCGTCGATGGTGCAAGATTGTGTGGTTTCTCTCGGACCTAGAATTGGTGCGGGAGGATAAAGTCGTAGAGTTTCTTTAATCACTGCTTTTAAATAAGGAAGCTCCCCGAGATCATCTTCATCAACTACTCTTTTGTTTCCGACCAAATCTCTCAATTCAGCTTGCACTTTCTTCAGTGTCTCTGGATTCTTCATGAGGATTGTCATAGCCCAAAGAATTGATGCTGCAGCTGTGTCCGTTCCAGCGACAAATATATCCTGTCCACAAAAATTAAATTCATGAGTTCAACTAGATGATAATGATCTCAAGAAATGTCATTCAGAAAAATCGAAATTCGTTGATTAAGCATAAGAACCGTAATTAAGTAACGCCTAAAAGTGATATTTTGCACCAAATCAATACTATACTATTTGATTCCCCTAGAAGAAGTGCAGACAAATTTTGACTTTAAACACTATAAGAATTTGCCAACTTGTGTTCTTCCCCACCTTCTTGTGGCTTTTTTTTTTTTATTTCACAAGTGTTAGATGCTAATAAATTATCCCATCTTTTTTAAAATGATTGTTCAGTTTAGATTTTTACTTTTAGTACAATGAACTAAAATGAAGATTCAATCTTTTGGAACAGACAAAAGATATATTATAAACATGATTAATTACCATGAGGATTGCCTTTATGTGTTCCCAAGTAAGACAAAGAGACGATGATTCTTCATGTTTGAGCTGAATCAATAGGTCAAGCAAGTCATCCTTCATGGAATCAGGCCTATTTGGGCTAAGATGCTCATCTATTAACTCCCGGAAGAACAAATCCAACTCATTGAAGTTCTTCTCCAAACGACCAACCATTCCAGAAACTCTATCCATCCAACTCAAACAAGGAATGTAATCCGACACGAAAAACCCTCCAATCATCGCTTGTGATTCTTGCAAAAGTTGATCGAATCGCCTTTTTAGGTGCCCTTCCTCTTCATACCTTTTCCCAAATGCAACCCTACAAATCACATTACTTGTAAAAGACATTATGAGTGTCCTTAAGTTAACTAGCTGAGAAGAAGAAGAAAGGGTTGATATTTTCATCATCATGCTGGAAACCTCATCCACCCGAACCGGGAGAAAAGATTGTACCCTTTTTTGGCTAAAGAGCTTAAGAACACAAATTTTCCTCATCTCTCTCCAATAATCACTATAAGGTGAGAATGCAATGTCTTTCCTGTTGTAGGATAGTTTTCGCCGGCCGGCCGACGCCGGCCGGCCTGAAAATACCATATCATGGGTTGTTAAGGCTTCCCGGGCCATTCTTGCTGAGGAAATGATTACTACCGACACTGAACCAAACTTCAAGGACATGAGTTCAGGTCCATATATTTTGGAGAGTTCTGAGAGGGATTCATGGGTTTTTGAAGCATTGATTTGGAGCAAGTTTCCAATGAAAGGTAGACCCGGTGGACCTGGTGGGATTTTTCTGGCATTTTTCTTGTAATATTTGTGAATGAAAGAAATGAGGATCATAAGAAGTGGGAGTGATAAGAGGAAAAGCATTATTGCCATCTTTAGTTTCGACGAGTAACCAAAAAAGATGAGAAGAGATAATGATATGATGGATGCCAATGATCTCCTAAGTTTATATAGACACTGACTGGCCACTTTGAAACATGAAGTTATCCTTCATCGTACTACGTACCCAAATTATTATCTGCCATTACATACATGTTTTCCATGAATTTTGGACAAAGTTGGATGCATGATAAACATATGTTATTTAGTAAGAAAACTTAATTTCCTTAAGAATTGTGAATCTAAATTTAGAGTTGTTAGTGATAAGTGCATGTACCCAACATTTTTGGTGTTATTATGAATTTTATTACTTGTTATGAATATTTTCTTTTTTTTCCCCCTTACATGGATGATTGTTTTGTTTTTCTTTAATTTTCGTTGAAAAAGTATATACTGTTATTAGTTTTACGCTTTTAGTGTCTCTAAATTTCAAGAAAACGATATTAGATGTGTTTGTATATACGTAATACTATGTGGATTTCACGTACGTATAAGGTCTTTACTTCCTTTATTGTAAAAGGGGAAAAAACAGAGGGACGCATTTATAAAAAAAAATAAAAAAAAAAAAAGGCTCTGTTTATATCGTTTTGGTTAATACTAATAAGTTGCCTTAGTAATTTGACTTGGTTTTTACTGTTTTGATTTAGTCGTTTATTGAGTCTGTTCACGTTGGTTTTGTTGCTTATTGAAGAAATTTAGAGAATAAATATGTGAAAAAGATTGTTCCATTCATACTTTTGTTGTACTTGATCTTCTTCTTTTATAGAAGAGTTATAAACGATAAGTACTCCTAATGTTAGGCATATACAAAAACCTAACTAAGTATATCTGCACAACTAATCACGTATCATTATACCTTTTACCCTATTACAGTGGAAGACATGAAGCTTATGTGGCAATTACGTATTCATCTGTTTTGGCTCCAATGCACCATATTTCAGATTTCAGGATTCTTTTTGCCACGTGTAAGTCTCTTTTAATTAGAAGTTATATAATTCTTTTTAAAAAAAAAACACACATGTTTTAGATGTGACACTTATCCAATGAAAAAATTCTACAAATAAGAATCAGTTACATTTCAAACGAATGGATATATTAATTCAAATTCAAATGTCCAATCGTACAGTTTTGCAGGCTTAATATAAACAAAAAATAAAAAAAGTTAAATCCAGTAATTAAGAATAATGCATTATAAACTAATTATTTATTATTCCCTTATAACATCAGATTTGTAGGTATATTTTTTTAAGCCCCAAACCATAGCATAAATGATATATACGCGAAATTAATTCCTCAAAAAATAGTAATTCAATTAGATTTTAATAAAATAGTAATTTAGAAGGGGCGCTCGGGCATCTGCCTGGGCCAAACATCTAGTATATATTAAAGGAAAGAAAGATAATCGACACGTGTCGCTAATTTAGACCATCAAGTATCACTTTTAATTTATTATCATTTTAGCCCTTAAAGTTCTATTTATGTGCCATTTTGTCTTCAATTTTATCAATTTTACATTTTCAAGGACGATTAATTGTGTCTAATCCCCAAAATTCCCTTGCCTATAAATAAGCCATAAGCATCTAGACATAATTTATGCATTTTTTAATATATTCTTTAATCCAAACATAACATTAGTTAGTGGTGACAATTTTTATTATACAACTTTTCAAAATTTTTGTTGTAATATCTTTGGCCAGATCTTACAAATATACATCTCATAAATAATATCAATACCTCTCATTTTGATCTAAAATTTATTAATCAAAAAAGTTTTACGGTTTTAAGAAATATTAATAACTACATTATCTAATTAATTCTTTTGGAAGATAAATTTTCAATATTGACAAACCCGTGCAAAGCGCAGGACACATACTAGTATCTAATAATTAAGAACTAACAAAAATGATAATTATCCAATACTCCCCCTCAAGTAGGATCCAGAAGGTTGATGGATCCAAGCTTGCTCAAGAGCCGATGAAACTGCATGTGTAGAGGGCAAAACTTTGTTGAACACATCGGCGAGTTGATCAACACTTCGAACATAATATGTATTGATACACTTAGACTGAACTTGCTAGCGAATGTAGTGACAATCAACTTCAATGTGTTTTGTCCGTTTATGAAACACTGGACTAGCTGCAATGTGCATAGCAACTTGATTATCACAGAATAATGTTATTGGAAAATTGTAAAATCAACCTAGATCATTGAAAGACTTTTAAGCCAGACAAGCTCACAAGCAGCCGTAGCCATAGCACGATATTCAGCCTCGGCACTAGAGTGAGCAACAACATGTGTTGTTTTTTACTCTTTAATGAAACCAAATTACCACCTACAAACACACAATAACCAGTAGTAGATCGACGGTCGAAAGTATTCCAGCGCAATATAACCAACAATATTGGTGGGCCCATTTTTAGTCATCAAAAGACCACGCCCCATTGCCCTTTAAGTACCGAATGCGTTTCACCAGATTCAAATGATAATCAGTGGGTGCATATATGTGTTGACCAACAAGACTCACAGCAAAAAAAATATCCAGTTTTGTTATGGTCAAATAAATCAATTTTCCCACAAGTTGCTGATAATATCTTGGAGAATTAAGAGGCTTTCCTGGTGTAGCTACAGACTTAGCATATGTTGTAGACTAGGATCTTAAAGTAAACCAGGATGTACTTAAGTTGATTGAGGTATAATCCTTTGCTGGAAGTTGTCATTTTGATGCCAAGAAAATATTTTAAGGAACCAAGATCCTTAATAGAAAATCTACACCGGAGATTTTTCTTCAATGTGGGTATAGAAATCAGCATTATTTCCTTTGATTATGAGATCATCAACATAAATAAGTACCATCAATTTATCAACCTCCCCTTTCCGAACAAATAGTGAAGAATCTGTTGTACTCCTAGAAAAACCAAGAGCTTTAAGGGCTGAACTCAATTTTGCATGCCGTGCACGAGGGCTCTGCTTTCAACCATAGATACACTTATGCAACTTACAAGCTAATTTTGCATTATCAACGTGAGGATGACCTGGTGGAAGTTTCATAAAAACTTCTTCTTCAAGTTCACCATGCAAAAAAGTATTTTTTATATCAATCTGAGATAATATCCAACCATAATTAATAGCAACTGATAAAAGAACCCTTACGGTGGTCATTTTTACTGTTTTGATTTAGTCTTTTATTGAGTCTGTTCACGTTGGTTTGTTGCTTATTTTTAGGAATATCTACAGATAAGTTGAGATTATATGGATTGTGGTTAAGGTAGTGGAGTCATGGCTAAAATTGTATTCTTTCTTTTCTATAAATGTAATTATCAAGTAGAAGTTTTTTGGCTTCCAATTTCAAATATATTAAGGCTTTGTTTGTTTACTTTTTTGATGGTTTTTTCAGTTTATTTTATTAATAACTGTCCCATCTCAACATATCTTTTTACATTTCCAACACACCTTTTTACTCAATACAAAAAACAACTAAAAACACACATTAAAAAAACGAACCAAACATACCCCAAGTCTCTTTTTTCTTTCTTTATGCCGTTCAAGTTTTCTTCTTTCTTCAAAATTACAGTTTTTTTTTTAAGTGCACATTCTTTTTTTTTTCAAAAAAGAAAGTACAAAAATATATTGAAATCTTTAAAAGGTGTAGCACGGTGGTAAATATGAAATAAAAATCATGTTTTAAAAAAAAAAATCTATGAACACTAAACAACGAAATAAACATAGCCTTATAACATGGGCCGCATGAGTAGTTTCTATTTTCGGTTAGGCAGAACCCTTAACATGCCAATATGGTCCAAAACAATTTTGTGGTCATCTTTGACTTGATTTCCATCTAAGGTTTGCAGTCGTTGGACGGCTACGGAATTGGGACTTGGGACAGTGATCGTGCAAAGTTTTTGAGTTCAAAGCAGTTGATAAATATGTTACATTTCAATTTTCAAAAAATAAAATAAAACGACAACAAATATAGCAAAATTAATGCATAGTGACATCCTATTGAATTTTGAAACATAAGCTGAATATGAAATCTTGATAATAGTGTCCAAATATCGTGCTCTCTCCGTCTTATAATTATTGTCCAGTTTGGTTTTTCATTTCTAGTTCAAATTATACTAAAAATAAAATCTCAAATTACACAAGAATTTTGGAACAAAGGGAATAATAATTTCGGAACGCGCATATTTGTTCAAATACTGGCCTTTACTACGATCTGTCTATTATGAAATATGAATGAACTTTGCACAGTTTCCATACTTATCACATTCTCGGGAGGTTGTCCTCTCTATATCAACAAGTCCATTTCCCGGTCACCCCCACTTACAAAAGTTGTGGATTGAAATGTCGACAAATATTATTACTTATGTATTCTGATTGTTCTTTGCAAATTATCCAATATAAAATTAATAATATCTTACAGTACAAAAATCAGTAAATAGGAGTGCAATAAAAATTCTTTAAATGAATAGTGTTGAAATCATTAAAATTTATTAATTTAAAAAATTATCAGATAATTAATAAATTAATAAACTATTAATTTGAAAAGTTTACTTAAGGAAAAAAGAACCCTTTATCTTTATCATCCGAATCAAACATGTACTGCTGGAACTCTTTTCCATATTAAAAGCCCATTCATCTATATCATCTTCAAGATTTAAAAAATAAAAATCATTAATTTATATTTTACTAAATATTATTATTATTATTATTATTTGATTTAGGTTAATTATCAATCAATAGTATTGTTAGGACCAATAAATATATAAGAAATTTTTTAAAATATTATTATCTTATCATTTTATTAATTTTATTATTTACTTTTTATATGGATACCAAGTTAAGACCAAGTTAAGACGTAAAAACATTATTAATCACTCGAAATTATTAATTTTGCGAGGTTCTATTACATTTCTATTATAATCAGTGAATCATATTGATCTTATATTTCTCCTAATATCATTCATTTATTGAGCATGCATTTTATAGCTGTACAAAAAAGCCCTTTTTCAATCCTGTAAGTAATTCATTT